GACCTGCCCAGTCTTGTAGTAGCATTTTACACTTTGAAGGTGCAAAACGCCTACTGAACATGGCTACGCTGGCACTCAAACTATTCAGAAGAGCATGCAACTTACCCGGATCTTCACTTAGCAGCACGATGTCGTCTGCATACTCCAAAGTAGATAGTCTGTCATCTGGAAGCAAATCGATGCGGCTGTCCTCAGGTTATCCACGAAACTTTTCTCTAACAAATCCATTAAGGGACATTTGCAAACGGTGCGGGCGTTCATTGGTGGAGCCAAAATAAGTGTAGTGACTAAGTAAGAGCCGTACTGCATTTATAGTGTTGCGCACAGTTTAGAGGATGGAGGAAGTGAATAAATCAGATTGTTGTATTTTGTCTGTTACCCTGGTTCCCTCAAACTTAGTAGCATCGAGAAAACACCGGCACTTTCCAATGGTGGTGATTGGTCCCAATCTATGTGAAATCCGTACTGTGGGATTTCTCAGTAAGGCTTCCCGTGGAAGCTGCTTTGAATTCCGCTCCGGAATTTTCCAGCGGGTGATCGACAACCTGGTGAAAGATATCCCAAATGTTTGTGCTTACCTAGATGGCATTCTGATTACCGGGCCGGATGAACACACATAGGCACTAAAAACAGTTTTGACACGCCTCCGTGAGAACGGACTGATATTTAAAAAAATCGAAGTGTGAGTTCTTTGCAGACAGTGTTCAATATCTGGGATATAAACTGGACAAACATGGGCTACGACCCATCCACGAAAATCTACGCCCAATTTTGAACGCTCCTGCCCCAAGGAATGTGGGTGAGTTACAATCACTCCTTGGTATGTTAACACATTACGGTCGTTTTATTCTAAAATGCTCTACGGTTCTGGCCCCGTTGCATAAATTATTATATAAAGATAGCAAGTGGCAATGGACACAGGAACAGCAAGTGGCGTTTAAAGCCGTTAAGAAAGCTCTAGAGGAATCTGAATTGTTGGTTCACTTTGACCCCCCGCTGTGATGCATCCCCTGGGGAGTTGGCGCTGTTTTACTGCATAGGATGCACGACTCCAGCAAACGACCTATTACTTTTGCCTCGAGAAGTTTATTACCTGCAAAAAACAATTACGCTCAGCTATATCGGGAAGCCTTAGCTGTTATCTTCAGCGTAAAAAAATTTCATCAATACCTATGGGGCAGAGTTTTTGAGTTACAGACTGACCACAAGCCATTACTCAGTTTGATGGGGGGATTTAAAGGCATTAATCAAATGGCATCACCCCAAATGCAGAGGTGGGCCTTGTTGCTATCTGCCTACAGCTACAAACTGTCATAAATTCCCGTAACACAAAATAAAGTGGCGGATGCTATGAGTCGCTTACCTCTCCCGGATGCACCAGAATACGTGTCAAAACCAATGGAATTAGTGAACCTAGTGCAACACGTAAACAAGGGGCCTGTCGCCTTTTCCGATATTCGTCGAGAGACCGAACGGGATATCACATTGACTAGAATTAAACGTTTTCTAAGTCACGGATGGCCGCGAATCACCAAAGGTCAAGTCGCAGTTTTCACTCAACGAAAGGATGAACTAAGTCTTGTAGACGGATGCATATTATGGGGCTCACGCATCGTTGTTCCACCTAACTTACGGCCCCAGATACTCGCGGAGGTACATACAGCGCATCCAGGCATTTGCAGGATGAAAGCACTAGCCAGAGATTATATTTGGTGGCCTAATGGATAAAGAAATTGACCGACTAGTCCGGACATATGAGGTATGTCAACGGTTTCAAAGAACTACATCACCAGTTCCTCAGAGTCCTTGGAGTTGACCAGAAAAACCGTGACAGCGGATTCATGTAGATTATTTTGGTCCGCTCGACAACTGCATGTTCTTACTGGTGATTGATG